GCTTTTGCAAAAGCCGGCATAATTTCTGAGGAGCCGCACGGCACGGAAAGTGACTCTGACAGCGAAGAAGGGTAAGTTGGCATGTCTGATTTAGCGCAGCTGTTTAATTCAGAAACAGAGGATGATGACTTTGATGGGTTTGATTAATACTTTGTAATAAATACATGAATAAAGCACAGTCATACTCAGTTTTGCTCCCGCTCTATTTTTAAATACACAGTAGAGGCATTTAAACGTAAAGAGGTGCACCACAGACACTGTGGTGCACCTCTCCAAATTTGTAGGTGAGCGCAGACAGGAGGCGTCTGATTGGTCGATTCTACATCCGCTCTACTCTATGCGTATTTCCTGTTTGGTCCCTAATGGCAGAAACTCTGGCTGCCGTCCACAGCGCCAGGCACACCTCAGACTCTATCCCAGACACCGCGCAGGATTCAGGTTCGCACCCACAGTCAAAACACGCAGCGCCATGGCCAGTCTTTGGGGAACACTCACGGGGAACTGTGTGTCGCCCAGTGTTTGTGTGTCGGTTGGATGAGCTTGTTTGCAGTCATCTCATCTCACCTCATCAGACACCCACAATCCTAGCAAGTTCCTGATTGTCCCTCATAAATCACAAAATATCTGCGTCATACCTGCGACAAGCTAACTGCGATGCACTGCTGCGAGAGGATAACCAGCCCTTTAGACCTTACAGCTTTCATCAGAAGCGTGTTTGTTGTTCGTGGCATCAAACAGGATGTGAGGTCAGCTTCTTACCCCCCTGGACCTCTCGAACACCTCCCCATTGATGACCCGCAGCTTCTCCTGCTGCAGGCTGTACTCGGGGTCCTTTGGACGGCTGGCGTTGTAGATGAAGATGGAGAGCAGGACCATGGGGGCCTGCAGGAAGAAGTCCAGCGACGGGCGGAAGTCAAACAGGAAGAGGGAGAAGCCGGTAACGAGTACGGTGGTGATCTGACCCGTCAGCACGTGGAACATGTTGTCTCTGAACTTTAAGATGAAGGCCACGGATAAACCCAGGGCAGCTGAGGGAAGAGTTGGAGAAGTTGACTGGAGCACAACCAGCAGCAGCAGAAGCTTCATCTGCCAGAACTCACCGGTGACCAGCACCAAAGCCAAGGAGTAGATGTTGTGTCCGTGGAGAAGGCCGCAGTGGACGGTGAGTCCTCGAGCCTCGCGGCTGAGCCCCAGAGTCAGAAGGTTGAACACCACCCCAAAGACGTACCTGCGAAGCAAAGAGGGCGGTGAGGAGCACAGAACACCTGCTGCTTCATGGTGTTCCCCACGCGCCAAGCCTCACAGTTTGCTGTTCTGAATGAAGATGCTCTCCGTCAGCTGGTCGCCCTCTTTCAGGATCTTCTCGTTGTAGATGTTGGCCATGGCAGAAATGAAACACTGCAGCAGGAGCAGGAGGTGGCCCACGCCGAGCGACTGCAGCCTCGCCACCATCCTGTCCCTCCAGGCCTGACCGGGCAGCGACGACATCCACGATTCAGAGGCGCTGCGCGACACGAGCGACAGGAGGTTACCTCGGGTTTACGGGATCAAACCTTTTTCATTTCAATGCCACCAACTGTCTGCACATGTAGCCCCTCCCTGGAACCTCATCCACAGACTTCCTGCCTGAACAAACCGCTCTGCCTCTAAACTGCATTTAATTAGATTCTGAATAAAGAACAGTACCGTGCTATGATGAGAATTTGATCAGAAACAGCCTGATTAAAGAATCTTCTGCTCTTTTTCTAGCTGTGAAAACTTTAACAGCCACATTTTAGCTTTAATGGTTTAAACATTAGACAACAAAATAAAGAAAGGCTCTACTGGAAGCAGCAAATACTTTCTGATCGGTTTTCCTCCATCAGAAAGGCGGAGGACTAAGCAGCTGTTGGTTTCAGCTCTACAGAAGCTAACATGAATATCCTGCGCAGATGGAGTCAAACAGAAAATAACTCCTCAGAGATCCCATATGTTCCTGTTCTTCCCTCCTCTAACAAACGTTTGGTGGTTTTTCAGTCTGCAGGTGAACGTTACCTGCTGTTTTTCATCTCCTCCAGCAGCTGGGTGTAGAGGATGCAGGAGTTGGAGGGGGTGGAGAGGGGATTAGAGTGGAGGCCCGGCACTGCTATGGAGCTCTGGTTCCCCCCGGATCCTGTTGTCAAGGAGACGATGGCCAGGAAAAGCACAAGCAAAGATGCCCACTGAACCCAAGACAGGCGCCTCCTGAAGGAGCGAGAAAACCGTGAGCTGGGTCTGGGTTTCAGTCCGACGGAGATGACTGTCAGAACGATTATGCTACGAACAGACGGAGGCTGCTTACTTTAAAACGACTCGAAAGAGAACGGCTGTGGTCAGGATGACAAAGTTGGAGAACAGCACGGCCATGGCCTGGAAACAGGAGAAGCAGCCGCCATAAACGAAGGAAGATTTTACCAAAAAACAATCACAGAAATCTGCTTTATTTGGGTTCAAGGAAGATGACTGGAAATGC